TTGTTGTTGTTGTTGTTGTTGTTGTTGTTGTTGTTGTGTATGAGAGTGGTAGCCTATTTGTTCGAAATGTTTAGAGCCCCGAAGAGCGTGCTCCTCGCCAGGGCCACCGCCTCTCTCGGGTAGCGGGTGAGGCAGTCCAACCTCCCTGAATCTTCCCAAAAGAGATGCCACTGCCTGTTGTTGTTGTTTTTATTTTTTGTTGCTGTTTTTTTGGTGGTGGGTAGTCTGGATCTTTTAAATCTTGTTTTTAGGGCAGCTCAACTAACAGCGAGTTACAATGGTCAAATTTCGAAATAATAGATGTTTAAAAGCTTTGCTGCCACTTGTTTGGTAAGGACGATTTAAAACTCAGTTACAAGTTGAGGTCTATTCACGTCATTGAACAGGTATTGGCTGACATCGAAATCACATTGTTAAACGTGACTTCTCAATTGTAGGCTTTTGATGCTAGATCTAGTTTAATTATTTGGCCGTTGTTATTAATTGCTGCTGGCTAATGTTGAGTTGGAATGATATGCGTTAGGTTAATAATGATGACAATTTCAGTTTTATCGTCTTTAGGTTTACGTTTGTTACTTCTCATTCATTGGTTTCTCTCTCTCTCTCTCTCTCTCTCTCTCTCTCTCTCTCTCTCTCTCTCTCTCTCTCTCTCTCTCTCTCTCTCTCTCTCTCTCTCTCTCTCTCTCTCCCTTTCTCTCCACACACACGCACACACGCTAGCTGCGTATCATCAACATAAAAGTGATAACCTTGCTATAGTTACGAAGAATATCGCGGGGTTCTCGTGGCCTAGAGGTTAAGGTGTTGGCCTCTTATTCAAAGGTCCTGGATTCGAATCCGGGTAGCGACCGGAACATTTTCTTTTCTAAAATTGTCGCCTTTCACCTCCTTTTCTGCTCTCTAGTAATGTTTTGTCGTCTGCTTTCGTCTCCTCTTTCTGCCCCCACCCCTTCACCTCATTTGCCCCCCTCCTCTGGGCTCCTGACTCTTTTTGTAGCCTTTCTACTGCTACTCCTTTGCTCCTTCTTACATCTGTCTTTCTTCCACACCCCGGATCTTCTGGTATGAAAGATCTACACCTAGCCTTCTCGGACAAGGGCGAAAAATATCCGAGGGCCCGTGTGCAAGTTGTGCACGGTAAAGATCCCTTGGTGGTCTAAAATCGATAAGAGTAGGCTTCGGCCGCCACCAGGGCAAAATTCAAAATTTCCTTCCACCTGAAAAAGTTAAATGTGTCTCGCGTGCTCGTATGACCTTATGCAGTTGCGAGCGCCGTAAATCACTTTTTTTTAAAAAGAAGAATATCAACAACGGGTTGTGTATAGAGTAATAGAGTGTGACAAGGATGGGTTCGAGTTCACTTCCCAAGGGGAAGAGGCTCTTAATGATTTGGCTGTCTCTTGTGGCGCAGTCGGTTGACAAAATTGGCCTGTTTACGAAAGTTTACGAAATGTGCTTAGTCGATTTTGGAATATTTTTCCTCACCGACCGGTATCCTGAAGGTGCCCGGGTTAAAATATTCTTATTTTACCTATTTAACCAAAAGGGAGACGTTTACCTGTTACCTTTGTAGCGTGAATATCCGTGTCTGAACAAATGTGTCTGTTGTGTATTGGGCAGGCTACTTGATTGCTTGAAATTTGTCTTTTCAGACATGGACCTCTTTACCTTATTTCTCCACCACTTTTAAATAACTGTGCTATGAAATGCGCAATACGCTGCGAGCAGTTACCGTGGTTCAGAAGTTACGAACGTGGGTAAAACATGAGAACAGAGCTCTAACGGTCAGTAATCCCGGAGGTGCTCCTGAGATAACCCGATTTCTCTTAATCCGGTGAGCGGTTGGTTGGACGGCAATACGAGTGTGTATGTGTGTGTGTGGGGGGGGGGGGGGGGCGTGTATGTGTGGGTGTATGGGTGTGTGGGTGTGTGGGTGTGTGGGTGCTTTATTTCCCTCTATCTTTTATATATCTGTTTATCTAACTGTTCGCCTGAACTACCTGGCCGTCGGTGGTTGGCGGGTGCTCTGGTGTATTTTCTTCTTCTTTCCTATCAAGCATCGATCGTCTTTATCTCCCCTCCTTCTTTTTTTTGTGTTAGTTACTCTCTTTTAACGCCTCTAATCTTCGGCACTTATACGACCTTATTGTGTTGCAAGTGCAGTAAAACTCTTACTAAAATTTAAAAAATACCTGGCCTTTATAATTATGTCTGATTTCTTCTTTTGAATCAGACAAACAAAATATAATTCTCAGTCCTTAAAGGGAGCTAACTCGCCCTAGAAATAATCTAACCCATGTACTGTATGCCGTTGATCGTCAATATAGGCTTTTAAAAAAATCTACAACAACCCCATCAAAAGCGCCATACTTTAAATATTATGCTTTTTGGATGCAAATGCCTGTACTGTTTGGCTTTAATTAATTTTTTTATTTATTTCTTTGTGGTGACTGTTGTTTCTGTACTTTTTGTCTCTGTAAGATTTCTGCTGGCCTATATGTGGGTGGTTGGCGGGTGCTCTGGTGTGGTTTGCTCCTTCTTTACTATCAGACATCTATCTACCTTATCTCCCCTCCTTCTATTTTGTGTTTGTTACTCTCTTGTAACATCCCTAGTCTTCAGCACTCTATGACCTTATTGTGTTGCAAGTGCCGTAAAACTCTTACTACAACTAAATAGGCCTATATGGGATTCTGTGCTGTGTAAGCCCTTCTCTGAAACTGAGACTGAAACGAAAACAGTGTCATAAGCAGAAATGCAGGTTGTTAATGGGGCGCCATGGCTGATTTTCACATAATAAAGATCTTGAAGAGTCTGACAATCATTTCATTACTGCAATGATCAGATGATTGTACAGAACACTCGTTCCTATTGTATTCTTTGTTGAATTATCCGCGAATTCAGAATTGGCATCGTTGCTGTTTGTTTCCAGTATACGTGTCCTGGTGTGTACATGATTAGGACTCTAATTAAATAAAATTAATGTTTTAGCTTTTAGCTTTATAGGGGACTTCGTTTGTCAAAGAAATCATTGGTATCGACATCTTTTTAGATTTGAATAACGTGCTGATACATGTACTTTATTCGTCAGGACAAAATATCAATAATTCGTTAAGTATTGTCATGAAATACTCCTCAATGTTCAACACATTTTTCTGCAAAGGAAACGGTTTGCTTGTGAATGTCATGTTCTTTGCACGACTGTGCGCGGGACAAAATAGTGTGACTTTCCAGAATAAATTAAAGGGTTAGGACTAAAGAAATGAGGGAAGACTTGACTTGTTCTGAATGAGATATTATGTACATTGGTTGATTTGGCTGATGAGCACGCAGACAATGCGAGTTTGATCAATATTTTCAAGGACCAATAACTGAGCGACATGGTTACTTGCCCCAGTGCATGACTACCCATGATAATCACCCTTATTATATCCCTCACCCATTACTTCAGTGCGGGTAGATCAAACCCTGTTTCGAGGTCCCACTGTTCCTGAATTTGAGGTGTCTAGATTTAATTACTCTCAATGCTCCTGGATTTTGTCTCTTTCTTCTGTCAGAGATGGGTGTTTGCACTGACTTGTTAGAGAACCCCTTCAATCAACCCCCCTTCAGATTGAAGGGCGTTAAACATGTACTATCCATTACCTTGCCCTGTATAGTAAGTAAATATTTCTCTGTGTCTCTTCCCAGCGATGGTAAGCTACAATGTGATCATCGGAGATACTATAACCAAGATCATCGTATGGATAGGGGGAGAAAGTAAGTGGTTCTTCAGCAAGTATCAACGTTTTGATCAAAACGAATTTTTAAACGTGTTGTTTTCTTTAAAGATGAACAAAACTCGAGATGTTGACTATCGCTAACTTTTGATTTTTAACTATGCCTTTGAAGTCAACCATATCCACACACACAGCGATATTTCAATGTGTACTGTGATGTAGCGTTTCTGCTTCCTCTGCTTCTTTCTTTATATTGCTCATGAGGCTTTCGCTTTCGAAATGACTTCTTTGTGAAACTTATACACAAACAAATGGTTATATTTAAAAATGCTGTTTTTGTATAAACTCGCTGTGACGCTGATTCTTTTCAACAACAGAGAAACTTACTGTACATTGTTTTTTGTTTTTGTCTTTTTTCTTGGGCTATAGGCCCGTCTCTGCTGCATTCCGTGTTGGGCAACCGACAGTTCATCATAACAGTGGTCACGGCTCTGGTCACACTCCCGCTGTCTCTGTACAAGAACATCGCTAAATTAGGCAAGGTGAGTACTGGATAATCACTAGAGACAGTGGAAATACAATAGAAGCAACAGAAATGTGGTTTCCCAGGAGACTGCTGAGAATGTCGTGGAATGAAAAGAAAAAAATCAAATGTGGTAGTGCTTGATGAAGCCCACGTGGGACGCTCACAAATGCAGTTTTTCGGACACCTGAATAGACATAAGGGTCTTGAACATCTAGCTCTCCCTGGCAAAATTGAAGGCAAACGAGGTAGGAGTAGGCCCAGAGCAACCTACTTAGAGAACCTAAACAAATGGGTAACGGGAAAAATTCAGGGAAACGTAGCTTTTTATGAGCATCCGAGAAAAGGAATGAATGGAGAAGGATGGTAGCCTTTGTCTGCCGCCGATCTGGCACAGGATGATGATGATGATGATGATGATGATGATGATGATGATGATGATGATGATGACCCATTTCAGGACAGCTCTAGGGTGCTACGAGACTCTTTTTTTTGCCCCTAACCCATTATATGAGATTAATGCCGTCTGATTAGTAGGAAAAAAGTGCGTATGATAGTGCCCAATAGTGTATTAAGTACATACTTATAAAACGTCTAACTGTTACAGACAGAGATTCTAGGAATATAGATATGTATGTCAAGGATAATTATAGATATAATGATGGTTGTGGATGATGATGTGGGATGGTGTTTACATGTTAACGTTAGTCCTACCTTCCTCTGCTCCAATGAGTCTCGAGGGACGTTGTACCATGAGACCCAATCAGTCTCGGCCATTCCGCGGGTGTGCCTGGTTGTTTAATGTTTTATAGGTTTGGAAACATGTTACAACAGCTCACTAACACAGGCAATGGCGTGTATTGATCTGATTCGGGGAAATTCGGTCGAAAGTTCAAAGTTACGGTCACTCGTCAAAACGGCAAATAACACATTCCATCGCTGTACCTATACAATACATAGGGGTGTCAATAAAGATGACTTTCAAGGGGTGATAAATCGATTGAGCTATGAACTCCAATAGAACATGAGTACATTGTCGTGTTCTGCTTTTTTATGAACGATTGATTTACACCCCATCCCCACCCCCCTTTTGCGCCACCCTTTCATGTTTTTCGTCTCCATTCCACTAATCTCTTTACGGACGTGTAGTACATTCATGAATAACGACTAACTTGGATTTCCACTTTGGAGATGCGCTCAGCTCGAAGTGTATGTAGCCAGTGTTTCTTTCAGGACGTACCAACTACTATCTCCCTCCAGCATATTTGCATCTACACCTTTTTATACTTGTGTAATCAATTATTTTCTCCATTACTGAGAAATGAAGCCTGAACGGGAGAATTTTCTTGATGCCTGCGGGTATACAAGACATCTGGGGAAGAAGCCAGAAAATTAACGTTGTTCAAATATGAACCAACTGCTATGCTGTCACTGCTTGAAGATAGCTCTAACGATTCTCTCGCAATTTTGACCCGACAAAGAAACTTCAGATCGTGTGAACTCGGCCTCGAAAGGGCTATGGTTGAAGCTTGGTCCTCATTTCGATTCTTACCTTGATGGCACAGAATTGTATATATTTGAGAATAGAACTTTTCGCTCCGTTCACCAAGATGATAACGCTTACTTGATAATGGGCTCAGAAGAAAATAGAAGAAAATAGAGGCAAATAGATAGAAAGTTTGAACGTTTCCTGAGCTGTTACGTTATTTCCCCTGGGACGGGGATAGAGAACGGAAATGAAAAACCCAGACAGCAGACTTATTGTGTCTCGTGTTAGCCTTCGACCACATGACGAAAGGTATGAGTCTACTGTAAAGTATCACTTTACCGTTAACCTTAAATTGCATTCTTTATGCTTTCTATAAGTCTACCAGTTGGATTCACTCTGCGTGCCTGGGTGAAAGGATAACGGTTCAGGACTAGGTCGTTCCTTCTTTTCTAAGAACAATATTATTATGTTCTCTTAGACTATTTCATCTGTAACTGTCTCTCGGTACTTATCTTCCAGGTCACTGGTCCACCAAAATACCTATCCGGGGATTGAAGGAAGGGAAATGTACATGTAATATCTCATCAGTAACTTTTTATTAATTTACTTATCGTTTAGTCAAGATGACCGTTGGGGCACTCATGATGATCGGCCAATCCCTTTTTCCATCCTTCTCTTTTTTTAGCTTTTCGAAGGCCTTCACTCAATTCAAACTTGTAAATTCCGTTATGTTGTCTTCCCATCTCTTTTTTTTTTTTGGTCTGCCTTTACTTTCCATCTCCCTTCTTTTGGCTACCTGATTCCTTTGATGTTGTTGGTCATTAGTTTAGCCTTTTCTGCAGTGATTTCTATATCATGATATAATATGTTGTTGACGCCTATTCCAGATAGTTGATTAACTTAACAAGATACTCTTCCTTCCTTGCAAAGGCATCAATGTCATTAACAAAACGTAAGTTTGTGATTGTTCAGCCACTAATGGTTACTGATCCGTCATGGTCTTCCAAAGCATCAGTGATGATTCACTCAAGGAAGATGTTAAAAAGAGCAGGTGAAAGCAGGCATCCTCGTCTGACTGCAACTGTTGTCCTGAACCATTCTCCTACATTGCCATTGTAATATACTGCGTTGTTGGCTTTGCTGTAGTGGCTGTATGACTTCATCTAAGTTGATGTTGATATATAGTTCCATTGTGGACCAGAGGGCTGCATGCCATACTCTATCAAATGCTTTCTTGAAATTCACAAAAACACTGAATATGTCTTGTTGGTGCTGAAGGTACATCTCACATTTCCTCAGTGTGCATTGGTAATTAATGTAATGTTTGTTTGCGGGTGGTTGAAGGACGCCTCTGGTAGGTCCTATTGTTTTCTTTCCCTATGTAGTTTCTGTCTGTCTGTCTCACTTTTCCCCACCTAAATGATTTGTTACGTGACAGTGTGCTTCTTTTTACTTAAACAAACAAATTGTTTGCTTTGAACCAGTTATTTTATATTGTGTATTTGTTTCATAATATTTATACTCTTGTCTGATTTTATTTCTTTTTCCAGTGGGCGTTCCTTTCTATAATCCTCATTCTTTTCATCATGGTGGCCGTCATCATTCGCCTGAGCACATTCATTGGAAAACTGTAAGTCTTAACATTTTTTGCTTGGTCTTGATTTACCCCAATCTATACAGTTAAAACAGGTAGATTGTATTATTATCTCTTTCTAGGGTTATTATGCAGCATAATAATATGCCGACAAGACAATTGACTGACTCTTTATCATAGCCTTTTGAAATGGCTTTTTGCTCGTTTTGTCTTATTTTTTAATTTATATTTAAAAAATTAATTATTATAATTATTTTTTATAATCCTGTATCCTGAAAATGTATCCATGAAACGTAAAGTTTAGAAGACACAGCCCATCGAGAAAATAGTATGTATATTCAGGTATCTTTAGGGGGGCTGTCGTGGCCTCTCAATCAAAGGTCCCGGGTTCGAATCCGGGAAGCGACCGAAAAATGTTCTTCTCTAAAATTGTCTCCTTTCACCTCCTTTCCTGCTCTCTAACAATGTTCTGTCGTCTGCTTTCGTCTCCTCTGTCTGCCCTTACCCCCTCACCTCCTTTGTCCCCTCCTCTGGGCTCATGACTTTTTCTGCAGCCTTTCTACTGCTACTCCTTGGCTCCTTCTTACTGCCGTCTTTCAGCCACATCAGGGATCTTCTGGTAGGAAAGATCTACACCTAGCCTTCTCGGACAAGGGTAAAAAATCTCGGAGGTCTCGTGTGCAAATTGCACACGTTAAAGATCGTTTGGGGGTCTAAAGTCGATTAAAGTAGGCTTCGGCCCCCACCCGGGCAAAATTCAAATTTCCTAAATGACTTTATGCAGTTGTGAGCGCCGCAAAATACTTACCAAAAAAAAAAAGATATCCCTACTGTTTTTCTGTAATTAATATTAATCTGTGTTTCTGATATCCACCCCCTCCTCTCTCTCTCTCTCTCTCTCTCTCTCTCTCTCTCTCTCTCTCTCTCTCTCTCTCTCTCTCTCTCTCTCGGATCTCTCTCTCTATCTCTCTCTCTCTATCTCCCTCTCTCTCTCTCTCTCTCTCTCTCTCTCTCTCTCTGTGTGTGTGTGTGTGTGTGTGTGTGTGTGTGTGTGTGTGTGTGTGTGTGTGTGTGTGTGTGCATGTGTTTATGTGTGTGTGTAATGTCCCTTTACTCGCCCTGCTCTTCCTGTTTATCTCCCCTCCGATATGGGCTTGATTCGAATTTAGTTTTTGCAGTTTGAAATCAGCAAAAATCTGCATGCCTTTTTATAGGCAGCTGAAAAGAATGTGGATGGGATCCAGGATGGCCAAACATAGAGATGTGAAAGAGCTCTATACATGTATAACCCCCCCCCCCCCCTCTTCCCCCCCCAACCCCGCCCTCTTGCCAGCTAAAATTGCTATATGAGGAGCTGTGGGTATTGTAATATAAACCATTGATTGATTGATAAAGATGGTTGGCAGGCACTTGAGTTATAGTGTTCCATGCTTTTTAGCATCACTGGGGTTGTGAACTTTTCATAGTGAAGAGTGGGTTCTCCATTAATTAGCTCAGTTGGTATCTTGCTGGCCTATACAGAGTTGGTGGCCGTGTTTCAAATCCCAGATGGGGGTTATTGAACTCGATAGTTTCGTTGAACTTTCAAGGCTCTCAACCCATTTGGATGGGTCCTATTTGAGACAGTTGATAAATTTGGAGATCGAGCTGTTAAATAAGCTAAAAATGTTGATAGGGGCGTGAAACCTATACTTACATTTACACATGAAATGTTGCATTTAATAGCGTTTAATGTGTTAATGTAAATGACCACTAAGCAATCGTAATTGTATGGACTAATAAATATATCATTAATCCATTCCTATAACTGGTCGTCAACCCCCCCCCCCCCCACCCCCACCCTATCCACGTTCAGTTCCCCAACAGGTGACGCTTGGGAGTTTGCCAACTACAACTTGTCCCAAGCTGTGGGTATCATGGCATTTGGTAAGTTTCACTTTTTATTCACTCTCATAGAGGCAACTGGTCTTTTTTTTATTGTAGTGTACTCCTTCTGTGTGGGTTCTGTCTTTGTTTCTGCTTATTGCACTTCCAATTATGAAGCGTGCTGACAAAATGAGTTACTTCTAGGATTTGAGCCCTATGGAAATAGAGACATCATGTTTATAGGTGAAGTTTTTACAAGTATGAAATAATAAAGGGCATGTTATACTTAAAGGCCATGACATCAATAGAAAATCTACAAATTTGACTCTTGAGTCGATTTTTGGCCAAGATCTCTATTTGTGTATTGTGAGAAGTAACTTATTAATTACAGTAAGTCTCACAATTATTATTATTTTTGAAAATTTTTTTTTATTATTATCATCATCATTGTCATCATCGTTACATTATTATTATTATTACAAATTATTATTGTTTGAATTATAGGTATTAATAGTATTAGTGTCATTATCATCATCATTGTTGTTGTTACTGGTATGTTTTTAATGCTGCTCATGTTGCTTTTTTGTGGTATTGTAACATTGTTTTATGTTTGTTGCTTTTTGTTTGTGGGACTACTTGTATTGTTGTTTTGTTTTTGTAATGTTTTATATGTACGGTATACTTACCAATGGCATGGCCCCGGAATCTCAAGTCCTTGAAAACTTTGAAAACATTTTCTGCTGGATTCTTTTGGGATTCCCAACAGGACTCATGTAAGCCAAAGCAAGTGTCTTAACAATCACACATCTCACGCTATGTAAAATGAGATTCTCTCGCCTGCAAAAAATATCAAGTAATGGTCATGCACTCTAACATCTTTAACATTTCCGAGTTGGCAACTTTTCATTTTCTTATGTAGTTTTTGTGTTGTTCTTTAAATGAGACATGGGAGCATGCTATCCGTATATGGACGTCTCCTTCTCAAACCTGTGTCGTAATGATGTTCTCTCAATCAAAAAGTTTTCAGGAGGAAATTTAAAGCATTTAAAGCAATAAAGACTCATTACATCAGTTTATAGACTATATTGCTCTTCTAAGTTGTCTGTCAAAGGCCATAGAACTGAAAGAAAAAAAGAGAATGATCTCCCCCCCCCCCCCCCCCCCCCTTTCCAGGAAAAAAACTCCCCAATTTTTTTTTTTTTAAGATAAACAAAGTATGACTTTTGAAAGTCTGTCCTTTGAGTTGATGATTGTAAAGACACCTATAATTTCTTTCCAACACTGTCGCCCTTATTAACGGAAAGGGCACCTCTTACTGCTACTGCTTCCTTATATTCAAATTGCAAAATGCTGCTCATTTTATGAGTTCTTGTATTGTGAAGGTGTGTGAAATTTTCATTTAAGCGGACAGAAGTGTGTACACATCAGAAATATCTTACAGCTTTGTTTTGGGTTTTTTCTCTCTTCTGTAGCTTACATGTGTCACCACAACACGTTTTTGATCCACTCGTCCATGGAGAACCCAACACAGCGTCGATGGGGCTTTGTGACACATTTCAGTGTGCTCTTCTCCATGGTCATGTGCCTGGTGCTGGGTATCTCGGGATACGCCTCCTTCACGGGAAACACAGAGGGTAAGTACAAGAGTCTTGACTGGAAAAGTTGCAAGTCAGCTAGTTGATTTTGCTGCTTCTCCCAACATGTGAGCAGTAGCTTGGGTTATGGGTGTTACTTTGCGGAAACCTGTTCTATGCTTCAAATATGGCCTAAAATTCAAACTCTGAGGATATATTTACTTCAGCATTATCGTGGAATTTAAGTAGTTTGTATGTCTCAAAAGAAGGGCGTTTGTGCGTGTCTGGGAGTGGGGGGGGGGGGGGTAATGTGTTTTACTAAATTTGACTATTTGACTGATGAATTTGTGAATCAACACCAAACGTGGCTATAGACATCTTACAGGCACCTTAAGTTCTTCAGATTACCAAATGCACCCCAAAAATTCAATTTAGCTCGCTGTAGTTTCCCTGACTTTATCCATTGTTGAGATAACCGTAAATTATAAATTAAGATGATATTTTTTATGCAGGCTCTATTCATTTTGGTTGCTATTAAAAAATGACCTCCCCTCCACTAGAATTGGAATAGTATTTATTGTAATCCGTATTTTCCCATAACACCTTTGTAAAGTGACTGCGGAGGAGTATAGTAGGCCTTCTCGTCTCCTGGTAACACAAACTCAAGAGTGTCTAAGAGACAAGAACTCTCTCTTTAAAGAATTATTTTTAACAAAACCGTTCAATTTTTTGTATCTATTCTAATCCGTATTCTTCAATTATTTGCTAAACAGAAGTATGGAAGCTATTTTGATTTTAATGATTCACACACTATTTCTCAGGAAGCTTAGCTAGCATCCTAACTTGTTTGACAGCCTCGAGGTGGTTTGTCATTAAGGGTGTTAAGATCTCTTCAAGGATAATCTATACACTCAGAAATATAGTTGAAATCGGTCCAAGATGGCCACCCATTGTCCAGGAGAAAAGTGGTTGTCTTAGAGAGGTGGACATCTGGGACAGTGTCATTTTGGTATTATAGAGAAAATGCAGGGGTGGAGGAGGTGGTAAGTGGTCATTTGTTCAGGTAATTGCCTTGGAGAGGTGGCTGTTAAAGTAGGTTCGATTGTATCTGCTTTAAACTCTTGCAGCTACTTTGAACAAAACTTGGAATAATAGTATATTTCTGCAATTTCTGAATCAATTTCTTCTTGCTGTGGGTGGTTGGTGGGTGCTCTGATGTGGTCGGCACCTTCTTTCCAATCCAACATCTTTCGTCCTGATCTCTCCTCCTCCTTTTTGTGTTTTTTACTCTCTTGTAACACCTCTAATCTTTGGCATTTGTATGACCTTAGTGTGTTGGGAGAGCCATAAAACTTTTACTAAAACTAAACTTCCGTCTTGCTGCCAGGTGACCTGATGGAGAACTACTGTCGTGGAGACGTCCTCATGAACCTGGCCCGTCTAAGTTTTGCGATTACCATCATGCTGACATATCCAGTCGAGTGCTTTGTCACCAGGGAGGTGAGTGCTGCAGCCCTGAGGTTTGATATCAGGTTAGGTTGAAATTTTTTGGTGTGAAATACCTGTTAGTTGTTTTTTTCTGCTCACTTGTGAATGGAGACCTCATCTTATCATAACGTGTTGGCGTGTAGGCCTGATGTATGGATATGAGAGTTACAGAATGGAGAATTGTAAGATGATGCAAGTGTGTGTGTGTGTGTGTGTGTGTGTGTGTGTGTGTGTGTGTGTGTGTGTG